GTGAAGACATCTCACCTTTGTCATGAAAGTGTATCTTGGAATGAAGTGTTTGGACTTTCAGTATAGTGCCTGTGTTGATGATAAAGCTGCTGACTTCACCTTAATGAAAATGAGTCACAATGAGAATGGTTTTAGATAGTTTTGCCTTATTAGGTTGAGGATAATTGGAGATGTCTCGGTGAATAGATGTAAGAACTTCTGTTGTCAGATAAAAAATGGAATGCCTCATATCTACTGCTGGTATCTATCTTCACATCCTATGTGAGCTGCTGCAGCTTGTCAAGCTAGGGACTGACATATGTTTGGCTTTATGGGATGAGTGGTATGGGATGGCTTGACTTGTAAGGTATAGAGTGTGGGAATGGACACAGCAAAGGTTATTGATGCAAGGAAGAAAAGGGGCTTCCCCTTAGTGGAGCTGAAGCAGCTGTTGGGTGGGTGGGGAAAGGGTTCTTCTGATACTGTTTTGTTCAGGGTATGTTGCTGGCTAACCAGCTGTGGCTTGGCAGGAGTATGTTTTCTTGGTTGTTCAAGAAGTAGCTACAGGTGCTCGACTGGGTAGTAAAAGTTCTCCGTGTGTCACACCTCTGTGATGTAGGATTTTGAGTTAGACTGCATGGGCAAGTGGCAGTCACTGTTACAAAAGATTAACTATAGCATTTGTTAGGTATAATGCCTGAAGAGCTGCTGAGCTGCCCAATTAAATATGAAGGTGATAGAGGAGCTTGGCACACAGCTCTGTTTTGCTAGCTCACTCAAATTATTGTGAGCCTGCACTCATTGTCGTTCTTTATTCTTTTGGTATTTGGGCATCCTGAAATTCACCTTCTGCTACCTGTGTTTCTGACTACTTGAGCCAGTTTATAAAGCTAACCTGTGCAACACCTCTTTGTTAGAAGCATCATTCAGACTTTTAAAACACTGTTTGCCAGTGAATGTTCTGGACAGGGTGTTCTGCGGTATTGCTGAACGCTGCCTACTCATAAAACTTCCAAAATGTTCTTGTGTCTGTAATAAAACGTTTCACTACCAGAGTCTGTAAATCCACTTTGGTACTGGTATCAGCCAGGAGGAACCTGAATGGTACAGCTGATTAAATTTAGGTTCTTCAGTGCAGCTCCGTGGTGATTTGTTTGTCTGGGTGTCCTCAGCAAGTGGACAAAAATCTCTTCCTTCCCTACTCGATTGTTCACAGCTAGCAGTTTATGAGATTTCAGGTATATCTAATTGAGGCTGAGGCTTTAGATACCATTTCTGATGGTGTTGTTGATTCGTGTTTCATTAAGAAACCAGAAACCACAACACTGTGAGCTCGGTCCTACAAGAACTTAATGCCTTAATGTCTATAAAAAGCCTGGGATATACCTCTTCTAACTCTTCAGTCACACAGCCATCTGGATAAGCACTACCAAGTGCACCTAAGTCACTTCCCAAACAACTTTTTTCTGCCAGTTTAGATGTCACAGACCTATTTTGTACACCTACAAAGCTTATTTAAAAATGAACGGTAAATGAAGTAAGAACAGACTGTGTGCACAAGCAGAACTGTGTTTTTGTGGAGATGCAAAATCAGTTTCATCATCCTATGTACTCAGTATTTCAGTGAGTTTGACTTTTTACTTCAGATTGCTTTTATTCATCTGGGAATTTTATTGGAGTTGGTAGATTTTAATGTACTCATGTTATTGCAGGCTAGTTTGGCTTTCCAGTGTTTTTTTTTTTTAACTCTTTTTTTGTCATTTTAGTTAAAATAAACAAACAAACAAAACCCAAAAGAAGATTCAAAACCAAGCAAACAAAAAATGAAACCAAAGCCAAAGTGAAAATCCAGAACACAACACCACCCTCTGAGCTGTTTGTACTCCTGCAGGGTGCTCGTTTGCGGCATTATTTCGATGTTGGATTCCCCTCCTGAGCCTTCATGATTCTGTAACAAAATGTTATGTGGGAGGGAGAGAGGAAGCTCACGATGATGGATGTGGTGCTGTTTCTTTCCCGTTGGTGTCTCGCTTCATTGGATTTAATGTGAGAAAGTTGTCTTATACTGTGTCTAATATCAGGTACTAGGATGTTCATTAAAAAGGAAAATAGAACCAGCTCTCACTTCCTTTGTTGGTTCTTGTTGCTTTCAAATCTTGTTTTCTCAGTGTTTCCCTAGGTGGAGTTGTGATGATTTGATTCTCTGATATGCAAAAAGAAGTAGAATGGTTCTTTGGCTCTACTCTGGTGGAGGAGGCAAAGCCCTGCTGGGACCCCCATGTGCCTTAGCTGACTGAGTGCTGTCAGATTGCTCTGCCTCAAGAACATCTAGTTATAGCTGTGTTGCTAGACTTGCTGGTTAAACAGCTGGGCTGGTTTTCTGGGTAGTGACATTAGAAGAACAGTGCGGAGTAAGTCCCACTTGCTAGGACTGTATTTTAACTTCCTACCTTGCAACTTAGCTGCATTTCACTGTTTTCTTTTTTGTTGTGGCTCCAGCACAGTTGCCACTTCCTGCTTCTCTATACCCACACTGTCCAGCAGCCTCTCTATTCTTGTAGCCCTCAGACTAACCGCACATAGCACATGGGCTGCAGGTTGTGGTTTTATGGTGGGAATGGAAGGCTGAATTAGAAACCTCATCGTGGTTTAAAGCTAGAGGGCTGGAGGCAGTTAAAGGCTGTGAGTACTGTTTCTTAGTGCTACTGTTAAGATTGCTGGACTCAAATGGGAGGTGAATAAAGTTGATTGCTATCAGTAATACAGCGCTGTATCTCTACACCAGCAGAGCTGTTTTCATGATGAGTCTTCAGGCAGGCTTCTCTGAGTCTCAAATCTGAGGCTGAAAACCCAAGGGTGTGCACTTAGAGCGGACTGAAAAGCAGCTGCTGGTTTTGTTGGGTGCCCAAAGCTGTGAAACACTCATAGCCTGTTGTTACCTGCATGGCACAGAGCTGTGGGAAGGGAAGACAAACATGTCTGATTCCACTGTAACAGTAGGTGCTATTCAAGGTGCTATTCAAGCAGCGTTTAGACTTCACCAATTTATCTTAGCAGCAAAAGTAATTTGGAAGGGAAAGGCAGGATGGAAGCAAGCAATTTGTGTGCTGCAGGTACCAGGAGGGCATGAGCCTCCTTGGGTAAGGAGAGAGCAGTGCACCTGTGTGTGTCACTGCAGCTGCTGTAGCTGTGTGACTGTGGGAAACGGTAGTGTAACCCAAACCCTGTTAAGCCTAGGTGTTTTGCTATGTGGTATCGATGATATTTTACTCTGTGGCTAGAGGTGGTTTTGTTCTTCTGGTACTTCAGCAGGTGTATGGTTTGAGAGCACTTCTATGCACTAGAGTGTATACAGTATACAGCTAGAAGGGAGAAAACATTGCACCACTGTCCCTGGGCTTCTGTGAAGTGGAACTTGATTCAGTGAGTCAGTGTGATGTCTCTGTTCCTCAACAAGCATCATTGCTCAGTTTCGCAGTGTAGGTTTGTCAAGAAGTTTTGAAATTCTCAGGTGGATTTTGAGATTCCTTATCAAAATGCTGTTTTCTGGGACTTTTCCTAGGATCTGCAGATCTCATGAATATTCTAAGCAGCAAATGCAGTGCGCTTCCTGCAGCTCAGTGAATGCAATCTGTAAGCATTCACAGATGCTGTTCATTAAACAGCGTTTTTGTGAGGCTTCCCTGTTGTCACCAGCACATGAGAAGATGTGATGCTGTTAGCTGCCAAAATAATGTATTAAGAGTGTGCTTCCATCCTGGGTTAAGCAAAGCTTATTTGTAAACCGCCCATTAATTACTCTTGGATTAGAATTCCTGTGTGAGGTTGATTCTGACGAATGATGCAAAGCTTGATCAGCTTTTTTACCTTCAGAAGGCTCAGACTTTTATGGAATTCTAAATCAAATAGTATAATTTTTTCTTTTGTGCCTTCATGGAAAAGCAAAAACAGGCCTTTCGTTAGTTCAGTACGCCACAGAACACTTGGAACTGTATTCTGGAAAGCTTTTTGTAGTGTTGGGTTGTGCTTTTCTTTTTTAGTGAAGTTTCTTAAGAGCCACAAACATGCTTTTTTTAAAATGTGGAGATGTTAAAGCCTTCTGTATGTTTACATGCCGTACTTTTAAATCTACCAGCTTCCTGGTTAATCATAAACCAGCTCTGATATGGTGACAGATTGCTATCAGGGTTAAATCTTCCAGTTGCCCCTGGGTGGGCATCAGTGAGGTGGTGCAGGCAGCATCCCATAGTGTGTGCAGCACCTGCATGGTTGCAGTGAGTGCAAGGAGGCAGCAAAAGGGAAAGAAGCAAGCGGTGTAACTTAGAGAAAGTGTATCAGGAAGGGTCTTGGACTTAGAACAGAAGACAGGAAAAAAATGGTTCCTACTGTGACCACGTGATGGGTGGCTTTCTACAAAGTAATTCAGCAGCAGGGTCATCTGTCTGCTTGAGTGTAACTGCATTAACCACTGGCAAAGGATGTCTGCTAAACTGGAGCTGTGTGTGTTTTCCCTGGTTTTCTGGTCCATGTTACGAAAGTTCAAGAAATTTAACAAAGTTTGTGGAAAATGTTAGTGAATATAGTAGTTCCTCTTTTCTTTTTTAAATTTGTGTTGCAGTGTGTTGCACAGGGACTTCTAGAGTTTTGCTCTTCAGTTTTCAAATAGCCTGTTGTCAAACACCATGCGAAAGTGTAGAAGCTGCTGCATGCTCCGAACTTACAGTTGAGGAAGTGTTTGGTATTGCTGAAACAGATTTGGTGTTGCATAGAGTAGCTTAGGATTCCAGGGTTAAATTGAATGTTAAGTAATTCTGTATTAGTATCCAAGTGACTGCAATGAAAGCTACTTCAAGTTAATTACTTTAAAGAGAAAGCGAAGGTAGCACATTGTGTTTGCTGAGCAGTAAATCTCTGTAGTGGTGAATTCAGTTTAAACTTGAAGTGAATAAAAATATTTGTGCACACAGTAAACAAAAATAAAACCTTCCTTTTTTTTTTTTTTTTTTTTTCCCCTCCCCCAGAAACTTTTTCACTAAAAGGACAAAGGAACTCAAACCTGCTGTCCAGAGTGCTCCTGGCTGGAAGTTGTTTGGAAAAGTGCCCCCCAGGGAAAACCTTCCAAAAGACTCCAAAATAATTCAGCAGGTGAGTGGACATTGCATGACTCTAGGCAGAAAGCTTGGAAGAATTAATGCATATTGCATTATTGCAGCTCTGTTGCCGTTGTCTCCACATTCCTGCTACATGGCCATAGGGTGCTCTGTGGGATCTGTGTCTAAAGGATGCTAGCTACAGAGAAGGAGGAGTTGGAATTTTATGACTGTTATGTTCCTCAGCACACCTCAGTGCTTATAAAGCATTGATACGTGTTCGAAAGTGTAAATTCTGTAAACAGTAACACTGTTTTATGGCTGTTTAAATCAAAACATCAACACTCTTACTAATTATCCATAAAATGTTGCCTCATTTAACATGGTACAATTTTGTAATGGTTAAATGATTGCAAAATACTGTAGTCTTCCTTTAAGGTTCAATCCTGAGTTAATTTGCCTGTTTTGTTCAATAGGATCCTAATTAGGCTTCTATATTGTTTTCAAGCTAGCTAATTAACTGTTTCAAGCTAGATAATAATTTAGCAGAATTTATCCTATAAAAGCATTCTTGAATAGTGTTACAAAACCAATCTTTATGGATCTAGCTCATCTTTCTGTAGTCCTTGCTTCTTGCTTGTAAACTTGTTATGTCAGTAACTGATGAAAAATGGCGTAGAATTCATGTCATCTTTCACTTAGTTTTTTTAAATCTCACTTGAGCATTTTTTTTTTTTTAAATTAAAAATAATTGCAGCAGTGCAAGTTGAACTTGTTTGGGATTTACAAGGGTACTAGAGAAAAATAATTCCAATTTCTGTCCCTTGATGCCAAGTTTTGTTACTGTGTCGATTCTGCATTTTCACTCCAGTGGCTGAAATAATAATAAAAACAGCTCAGTCTTTAAAGATGAGGAATTGGTAATGTATCAGTAAAGTTAACATACAGTGCCAAAGCTGAGAGGTTTTTTCACTTAAGAAATATGAATGTCTCTTGTGTTAATGAAAACAGTAACTGAATCTCTTGAGCTGCTTTTTTCTTTGTCTCCTCTCTTAAATTCCATATGAGCTGATGTGTTTGGCAGGTGCAAATAGCTGTGAATGAAGCAGTGTTCAGCCATCTTCTAGAAAGAGCTTCATGGTGAAAGAGGGCCTTTTGGGAGCAGCTAAAGTGAAAAATAAGAGGTTCATTTTGAGGGAGTTCAGTGTAATGAGAGTTGTCGCACAATGAAATGTAGGAAAATAAGGAAATGATGAGATTGCTGCAAGTACCATATACTCTGAATTAAACTAGATGCTTTTTCACCACTTTCAAATATACTTTTCTCATAGAAATGTTTTATTTTTTGGCAGGAGAGGGTAGGTGTGTTTAGTTTGTATGCACATGAATGCCCTTGGCCTTGTGCTATGAAAATACCATGCTGAAAAACCAGATGTTTCGTCCATCTTGTGAAATGAACATATGCACAATGCTTACCAATCATCTGCTTCTTATTTTCTAGCAATGAAGATGTTTGTTTGACAAATGAATTAAAGTCTGCACAAATATTTTTCTTATCCTGTTGTCTCTTAGTGACTGTTTTTCTTTTAAACTGTTATTTTAAAATGAGTTTTTTAACTTCTCCAAAGTGTCAGAAAAGCAGAAATATTTAAACAGTGCATTGCCTTTAGGCATGATTGAGTTTGTCTTGAAGACTATTCATGCGGCTTATGTTAGAGTGGTTGCCAAATTAAGATTGGATTTGTATAATCTGGAGTGTTGTGTCAATAATGGGTAATATTATTAGGTTCTAAATCAGGTAAAGCATGTATGGTCTTTAGATAAAGCGTCATGATCTGGAATCCACACTTATGAAAGTAAGGATCATAACTAGTGGCATATTAACTACAGAGTTAGATCTACAGTATCTGAGAACTTGATTGTTAATGTGAGAGAGAACCCTAATGTATCCATATTTAACATAAAGTGTCTTATATATATGTGTAAGAGTTACAGTATAGTTCCTTGTGCTATGTCTTTGAAGAAATGGCAAAAATTTTTATCAAAAGGATTCAAATTTGTTAATCTGGCCATTGCCTAGAATGAATATAGGCACACATTGTTATTGACAGTGAGTGGAAAACAGCATCTGCTCTGCAAGTGGCTGACTGAGGTCCCCAAACTCAGTTCTTCACTATTGAGAATGCATCTAAAAGGGAAGCAGGCAAGAATGCAGTTACAAGGCCTGTAAAAGCTGATACAAGCTTCATTTGTCCTGTTAACCACTATTCTGCTACCTGATTGGAGATGAGCCTTGTTCTTAAATTTCCATGTTTCTGTCCTGGCTGATGAAAGCTTCCCTTGCTACTTGTTTTGATGAGGATGACAGTAAATTCATAACTGCATCTAAATTAATAAGTCTGTCAATAGGAGTTGCTATATATGCCCTTGCAGAAAAGTCCAGTGGTGATTACAGTGTCTTGAATAACTTCGTCCAAAAGTCTGGAAACTTAATTTGGGATACTCTTTCAGGCATTTTTCAGACGACAATGTTGCCAGCTCTGCCTTCAGAGACTGTCTGATGAGCGCAACTGTAAATTTCTCTATAGTTTCATACCATATGTGGAAGATAATTGCTCTACCCAAAGCACGCTGCTGAGCCTGCATGTTTGTGGAGGTGGCAGAGCCCCTCGCAGCTGCGCTGCCATCAGCATGCTCAGGGTGCAGTGCTCAAACTCCAAGTGGGCCAGAGGCTGAAAGGTCTTGGCAGCTGCCCCTGCTGGCGCTCAGCTGCTGGCATGCACTGCTCCCCTTGGACTTGGAGCTGCCCAGGCAGGATGTGATTAAGGCCAACTCTTTTACTGGACATCTCCCTCCTCTGGGCTTCCTTCCTTCGCTGTTTTTTATAAAAAGGGAAAATAGCAACTCTTTAGGATTGCAAATGTCACGTGCATTTGATAGTTTTAGGAAGTGTGCCTTTTTCATGAACTGCAGCTAATAAAACTGGCTGTTACGAGATGTATGTGGTTATTAATGATCAGTTGGGTACATTCTTTTCAGTCTGTAAAGAAATCTGCTTTCAATTAGACCTCCAAAGTATTTTAACACAGAAGCATTAGAAGCCAGAACTGATTTGCAGGATGATGTGTACTGACTGAAGAGCAAGTTCTGTTTAAAAAAGCAAACTGAATTTAATTTTCTGTCCTTATGGTTAAAGAAAAGTCTGTATTAGTGATCAAAATGATTCTCAATATCAAACCATTTCATTTAGCCCTTTTGTTAAAGCACTCTTGAATATTTTTTTATTAATTTGTTTACAGTTGTGAAACTTTAATGCCCAATATGCCCAAAGTAAGGAAAACTCAAAATGTGTGAATATGCACTGCAAGGCACAGAAATGGATTTGGTAAATGCTTCACTTCATCAAGACTTTTAATGGAGTACAGCCAGTAACAGCCTTATATGAAGGGGGGCTTCTGTTCATGTTGACACATGAAAACTTACAGTAATTTATTGATTGCTTCTTTGAAAGTAAAGTAAAATAATCTTTTCCAAAAGCTGTCACCTTGTACACAAAATAGCAAGTTATTAACTGTAGGCCATCAATTAAATACTAACTGTGATTTAGATGTTGTCTAGTTTAGTATCTATCCTACAGCTAACCTTTGAAAATAGTGGGTTTGGCTTGCTCTGAAATCTTAAAAACAAACAAACAAAAGCTCACAAACAGAAACACCACCTGTATTTGAGGACCGATAAACTTGTGCATATTTTTCCAATGTTGTTATATCCCATCTGAAATCTAACAGTGAAATCATTCACTGAATCAGCACAACTCCCATAGTCTCCCAGGGCCAAGGATTGTCTGAGGCTGCTCTTCAGAGGAACAGATGTGTTTTCAATCAGCCTTCAGAGAGCTCGGGCCTTCTGACTTGCAGTAGTAATGCTTCAAGCCAGTCACTGTGGTTTCAATTTAAGCTGTGCATTAAAAAGTGCATGACATGTTTGTCAGCAAATCTAAGGATGGGGTATCTGAAAGAAGTACATAGATACAAGGCTGAAAGGTTTTCTGTGAGTGATTTTTATCTAGATAGAGGTCACGCTGGCTCATCTTGCACATGCTGCTGGAAAGGCAGAAGGAGAAAGGCAAGAGTTCTGCCTGTTCAAATACAGTCAGAAATACACTGGTAACAAATTTCCCTGAGACAGGGATGGACAATGTTGTTTAGTCTTGCAAGGATCACATAGCACCTAAGTAGCATTTAGTTTGCTAGTAGGGGTGAAAAGAGCGTGACGTTCTTATTTGCAGATGTGGCAGTTAGGTTCTCAAGAAATGTCTATCATCTTTCCAGAGTGTATGTGCAGTGAGAAATGCTGTACTACAGGTAAAACATTTGTGTTTAGAAGTGTTTCAAAGACCTTCCCCCATAATTTAGGCTTCAGTAATGATTATCTTGTCAACAAAGTGGTAATGAAGCTTGTAGGATCTCAAATGCTCCTCTGTTTGCAGAAAGTATATAAAATACAGTCCAGTTGCAAAGACTTACCCATCTGCTTTGACAAGGAAAATCTGTTGAGGAGACCTTCTGAATCTGCTTTTTGACAGGATGATTCCTTTTCTACTGGGTCTTTGAATTTCTTTAGCAAAAGGGTGACAAGAGAATTGTGTTTTCTTTTAAGAATTAAGGTTTTGCAGGGTAAGCAGACAGCTTGGTAAGCTTGATATGCTGTGGTAGCAAAGTCATTGTTCAGGTTGGCTATATCAAATTCCAAGAGCACAGAAATTAGCAAAAAGATGCTTTTGACATGGTAAAGATGTACACATTAAAAAAAAATGGTATAAGTTTTAGCTTTCTGAGGCTGGCATAGTATTTCCATACTGAAAAGGAGAAAGTGTGGCAGCATAGATGGAAGCCTTTGGATTTCTTTTCTCCTATGGTATGCATGGTGCAGAAAGAGGTCAGTAACAACACTGAACTTGTGATGAAGAGCTTAATTCCTCTCACTCTTTCTAGTACTGTAATAAAATGCTTCTGAACAATGGCTTTATCTGTTTAGGCACTCCTTTTTAAGCTT